ACATTTTCAAAAAAAAATAATTAAAATGTTCATTAAAAAAAAAGTAAAAATGGTGGATGCGCCGGGCTAATTTAAGAAACAAATTATTGATTACAAACTTGATACCTGTCCACTCGTTTAGTGTAATCTGGTTTTTTTAACCTTGACAACTTAATCTTCTCACTCCACTGCAGGAAAAATTTCAAATGTAAACTGTTATTTTATTCTTTTATTGATTTTGATATTGATTTGTGCAGCAACACACATTTTGATAAACTACGCATTTTCAAATATTATTTTATACTTAACAAAAAAACGGCGACACTTTTGTTTTTTTACTTATTTTCAGTTGTGATTATTTCATTGCATTATTTTATTTTAAACTTTTATTCTTTGTCACTGTCATTTACGGTTCTTCTCCCATGCAAGGAAGTTTTGCCAACTGTTTGGCATTTCTCAATACGAAACGTCAGAGTATTTTACAGATTTAAGGCAAGTTTAAGCCTTGTTGAGTAATTCGAAGAATAAAATGTATTCGTGTAAATCGGACGCTTTATTCCAACTCGTGGATTAAAAATCCACTCATGACATAAAGTGTCCGATTTACACTCAAACTCGTCGAATAAATAACTATTAAAATAATATCTTTATACTTATTAAAAATTACACTGAAACAAAATCAATAATGCCAGTTACGTGTTGGTACTAATAATCAAAATTTTATAAGGATAATAAAAAGGTTATAAAAATTTTATTACTGAAATCAGGAACACAACTGGCTTTATACTTTTATTTTGGATATTATGTGCTTCCCAATAACGGATCAATAAAACATATAAAAAGTTTGAATGTACAAGAAATTGAATACAAGTACAACATTGTAGTGTTGTTTGGTGGTGAATATAATTTAAATGTTTTACATGTTTGACTCATATTTAGAGTATCTTATTATAAACGGAATAATGCCCTACTATTTGTACTTCACTTGAGAGTTTGTCAAACATAAAGTTTTTAGTTTATAATTTTTTTAACATAAATTGTAACATTTTCAATAAATATTTTTGTACATTTATAAAATGCATAAACATTTCTTTGTAAAACAATAAATAAAAAACCGTTTTTATTTAAGAAAAAAAATATTATTATGGTAA